GGTCCAGCCTCCACCGCTTACCTTGGCTGTGTCCACCTCCTTCATGACCATGTAGGGCTCACAGCACTCGCTGATGTCTCCCTGCTGTAACACCTTCTCCAGCTGAGGGGCAGGCAGGCCCAGTGAGGTGCTGGGGAGCCTGACCTCCCCACCATACCCCCAACCTCCTGGGCCTCTCCTGAGCCCCCAGACACCCATCCACTAGAGCTCTTGCTCCAACACCTCCCATGGCTCCCACTGTCCTGGGGTTGAGTGCTAGCCGCCCCCTTGCCTGGCCAGCTGCCCCCACCCACCTTTGAACCCACCCCAAAGCCAAGGCTCCCTATTTCCCCACATCTACAATTCCTTGTCAGTAGGAACAGAGGCCACTCCAAGCATGGCTCTGGGTGACAAGAGCTGGACTTCAATCCTGACCACTCTGGGCTGTGGGGTCCTGAGCAGGTCCCCCACCTGCTCTGTGCCTCAGTTTCCCCACCTATAAAATGGAGCCATGGCAACCCCCACCTCCCAGGGCTGCTGTGAGGACTCGAGGGGGAATCCCTGTGACGCCTGGCTGACGGTGAGCAGTCCCTATCCATTGGTGCTCAGTTAACGTCATCCGTGTAACCTAACTGAATGAAAGGAAATTTAAACTCACTCCTGGAAACAATACCCCAAATAAATGTGTCCATTAGGTCTTTTCTCTCCTAATAAACTGAAAAATTCTCAACTTAAAAAACATGTTTTAGGCCCTGGCCAGGCACCTCAGTGGTTAGGGCATTGTTCCGATACACCAAGATGGTGAGTTCTATCCCCAGTCAGGCACATACAAGAATCAACCAGTGAGTGCATTAATAGGCGAAATAACAAATCGATGTCTCTCTCTCTCTCTCAAATCAATAAATGAGAAATACATATATTTTTAAATATCTGTCCCCCTAGGCCAGGACACCATTTCTCTACAGGCTGCTCACTCATGGGTCTTGGTTCAGCTGTCACCTCCGCATGGAAGCCCTCAGGGATTTCTCTTCAGCTGGGTTGGGTCAGGAGCCTCCTCCAGGCTTGCCCCACTGCCTGTGCTTCCCCTACAAGAGGCCTGATCATCCTTCCTCATGCCCGTGTTCTTCCGTGACCATAGGGACTGAGCCTGTGACATCACCATTACACCCCTTCCTTGCCCAGCCCCAGTGGGCACCTTGATGACCAGGAAGATGTCGGGCGAGGGATAGGTCACAGAGAAGATGGCAGAGCGGGCCAGGGTGGAAATAGCCGGGTGAGTGCCATGGGCCCGCAGCAGTCCCTTCACAGAGTCTGAGTTCAGGTCAAAGTAGAAGTTCTCCGAGATCTGGGGGCACAAGAGGCAGCTGGGTCACCACCTCCTGGAAGCCCACAGCCTTGCCACGAGGAGGGCAGTGAGGCAAGAAGGGGAAGAAAGGGGCGCCTACCTTCTTCTTCTCCCGCACATCGTACAGGGCCAAGATGCCAAAGATGGGCTCAATCTCGATCTCGAACCTGTGTGTGAGGGGGCGATCTGGCACAGGCTGTTCCTGCCACACTCCTGCCATCCACACCCCCGACTCCCTCTTGAGGCCCCACCCACGTTGGTGCAGCCTTGGGGGGCATCTAATTCCCACTGAGCCACACGAACTGCCATTTAAGGGCCTGTCCCATTTTGCAAGAGGAAACTGAGGCACTGATTCTATCCCCCCCCTGCCCCCGTCAGTAAGTAACTCACACAAAACCCCTCCCCCCAAAATCATGGCTCTTGTTCAGTTTGGAGAGAGGTAGCTTTTGGCACAACAATTCCCTCTCCCCCAAATTAAATTCTCGACTCCCGGGTCTCCCTGTCTCCCCTCTCCGGGGTGTTCTTTGTCACCTGTGCCACCCTGGGCTGAGTCCCATTTTCACTCGCCTGCATGGCCACTGTAACCGCCTCCCTCCCTTGCTCTGCCTTGCTGGCCCCTACGCACCAGCTACCTTCTAAGGAAGCATCTTAGAACTTACATTTTGAGGCTCCCCACTGCCCTGACAACAGATTCCTGCATGGCCCAGCCCGGCCACACCTCTTGGTCTCATTTTTCCCTCTCCAGATGTCTCCCTTCCTTCGTGTATGCTGTATGATCATCCCACGATTACATGCTCTGTATACAGTAGGCACTCAATGAGTGCTGAATGACTGGATGAGCCCACAGAGCCAATTCCCAACCCTTGCGCTTGGGGCGGGCGGCCCCCCCGGGCCTCCAGCCAGACCAGGCCTCTCTTTCCTGTCCCTGGCCAACAGGAACCCAGGCTGGGAAGGGGCAGGGCCAGGCTCAGGTCCAAGGCCACATCCTGTTCAGTTCAGTTCCCACGCATTGTTGGCTGCTCCCCAGGGGCGACTGTGGAGGGGGCCTCCAGCCCCAGCATCACCAGCGCCTGTCCACCTGGGTCCCACCAACAGAGCGGGAGCGTGCTGGACTCCGGCCTCCCAGATTGTGTGATTTTGGCGCAGGGACTTTGTCACTCTGTGCTTCGGCTTCCCCACCTGTGTCCCCTTCACAAGGTTTAGTGAAGATTAGAGGGAATGTACGTGGATGGGCTGAGAACAGAGCCTGGTACACAGCACTTAAGGATCGGTGGCTTTGAGTAATGGAAACGGAAGTCTTATTTCCCGCCTAAAGGCCCATGGTCTCACGGGTCCCATGGCTGCACGTGGTAATGGCACGGCTCTTGCAGTGAGCACCGAGTGTGTGCCACACCGTGGTCGAGCTGTCTGATCCCCTTGCATGTCTGAACGGGACAGGTGAGCACACTCACTTGAGTGACAGACACTTGACCAGGATCCTCTGTCCAAAGTGTTCGCAGGGCGGCTCCGGGTGGCTGCAGCGTTCCACGGCCTCGTCCTGCCAAGAACCGGGGGGCAGCTGGGACCGTCCTCCAAGAAGAGCTTGGAATGTATAGCCTGAGACCAGCTCAACCCCCAGCCTGACTAAACTTGAAGTCCCTTGCCTCTGAGCCTTTGCACATGCTGTTCCCCTGCCTGTAATGCCTTTCTTCCCCTTCCTCCTTACTGCCGATGCCTGCTCATGGTGTAGGTCGCAGCTTACCTGGCACTTCCTCCAGGAAGCCTTCCCTGACCCCTGAGGCCTGGGCAGGCGCCTCCTCCAACTTAAACTAGTAACAACGAAAATAATAACAATAATTCTTGGTATAATTATCCATAGAATAAAAGCCTAATATGCTAAGTGTCCGGTCTCTGTTCAACCAATCAAAGCATAATATGTTAATGATATGCTAAGGCTACTCATAACTGCTTGCTATGACATGCCCTGACCACCAGAGGGCAGATGCTCCAACTGGTAGGTTAGCTTGCTGCTGGGGTCCAGCTGATCCGGACTGAGCAAGACAAGCTGGACACGCCCTGGAACCCTCCTGCGGTCCCTTCCTGGCTGGCCAACCTCCTGCGTCCCTCCCCAGCCCCGATCGTGCACCAGTAGGGTCCCTTGGCCTGGCCTGCAGGAGAGCCGATTTCAGCCCTATCCTGCTCTATACAGGAGCTGCCCTTGGTGGTCAGTGTGCTCCCACAGGGGGAACGCTGCTCAGCCAGAAGCCGGGTTCACAGCTGGTGAGTGCAGTGGTGGTGGCGGGAGCCTCTCCCGCCTCTGCAGCAGCACTAAGGATGTCTGACCTCTCTCCATGGGGAGCGGGCCTAAGCCATCAGTCAGACATCCCTCTAGGCCTCCCAGACTGCGAGAGGGCACAGGCCAGACAGAGGGACCTCCCCTCCCCCTGCACGAATTTCGTGCACCGGGCCTCTAGTTATTGGTTTAAGGGAGCTGCTCAATAAATGTTGGTTGACAAAGTGGTCACAATGCCCTGTTG